TGAGGGTCCCTACTGTCCTGCCTGACTCCATGGTGACCGGATCCAGCCTGGTCATGGCTCACAGCTTCTCCTACACAGGCCCAGTCCCAGGTGCACCTTTGAGATAACAATAATATCTCCTAAAACAAACAGCCATTGTTTCTACACAAAGACCTTCAATGTTTCCTCCAGCAACAAAAGGCCACAACCAGTCCTGGGGCCAGAAGGCTTTCATAAAGATCATGATGGCAGGGGAAAAGGGAGGGAGAAGGGGCAGAAGGAAGAAGAGGACAAATCAGTTATTTTCCAGCAGTTTCTCTGTTGAACAGATGACCCAGTCTACCCATTAGGAATTGTTTAGAATGACTGATTATTCCTGATTATGTGTAATGATAATAGTTACATTTTCCTAGGGTACAAATAATAATATCTACCTCTTGCAGGATTTCTGTCAAGGACAAATGAGCTCATAGGTTTCAAGGACTGTACAGTTGATATTGTTTTGGGAAGATTGATGATTCTTGTACCTCATCTGCCTAGAAAATGATAGCTCTATTTTAGCCAAATGAATCCCAAATAGCCCTGGTTTCTAGGCCTACCAAGTTCCTAGAATAAAGCATGAGGAAGAAATGTGTCAGTAATGGATGTCAGTGACAGTTTACTATTGCCCATCCCAGGCAAAATCTCTAAGCAGTAGCTGTCCAACCAATTTCATGAGCTATTCTTTCCACTTTCAAAGCTCCAGTAGTAGCCAGGCGCTGGTGGCGGTGGCTTACTCCTGTAATCCTAGCTACTCAGGAGGCTGAGATCTGAGGATCATGGTTCAAAGCCAGCCTGGGCAGGAAAGTTCATGAGACTCTTATCTCTAATGAACCACTAGAAAACTGGAAGTGGCATGTGGCTCAAAGTGGCAGAGCACTAGCCTTGAGCTGAAGAGTGCAGGGACAGTGCCCAAACCCGGAGTTCAAGCCCTATGACTGACCAAAAAAAAAAAAAAAGCTCCAGTGGTGGAAATGAGAAACCTGGTGGATGATTGTCACAAAAGTCTAATGACACAACTTTCTTAAAACCTTCCCCTCATCCCTCCTAAGTCCTGTTTTATGCAATTTATTAAAAAATAATAAGCATGTTATAAATTAAACATAAACCTCTTCATGCTCATTTGTAATCAGAGATGAGATATTCAAGCAAATCATACCATTTTAGACTTATTTAATACTAAAATTTATAAATGAATATCCAGTTTTGGTGAGATCATGACAAAGCTGGTGTGATCTCACAACACCAGTGGCATAGTAAATGTGCCTGATCCCTTTCAGAAGCAAAAATGATAACATACAGCCAATGCTAAGAAGATATTCCTGACTTTTGACCTAATTATCTCTCTCCTTGGAAATTACTAGAAGGATAAAATTCAAGAAAAGTGTGTGTGTGGGGAACCTAAAAGGCCAAGATATATTTACCAAACATAAAAGTTGAAATAATAAGTATTTCCGTCAATGACTATGATCATAAAATTAAAATACATAATCTACTTAAAATGGGTTATTTGTGATTTAATTATGTGTAGAAGTATACGATATAATACAATTGGGTAAAATATGTATGTATATGCATAAGCATTAGTGATGTGAAAAAATAAAGGTATCTTTGGATATGATAGTGATGAATTATACATCAAAATGCTCTTCAGTGTTTATGTTTTAATTTTTTGTTTTCCTTTTTTTAATTTGTGTCAGTCATGAGGCTTGAAATTAGGGCCTGGGAGCTGTCCATGAATTTTGTACTCTAGGCTAGCATTCTACCACTTGAGTCACAGCTCCATTTATGGCTGGCTAAATGGAGATAAGAGTCTTACATACTTTTCTGTCCAGGATGGCTTCAAACTTTGACCTCACATCTCAGCCTCTGGAGTAGTTAGGATTACAGCAAGAGCCCAGTATCTGGCTCTTTAATGTTTTTATGTAAACTATTTTGTATGTGATTGAACTGGGATTTAAACTCAGGACTAGACACTCTCACTTAGCTTTTTCATTGAAGTCTGCTGCTCTACTACTTGAGCCACACATCCACTCCCAATTTGTTTTGCTGGTTAATTGGATATAAGAGTCTCTTGGAAAAAAAAAAAAGAGTCTCTTGGACTTTTCTGTGTGGCTGGCTTTGAATTGAGATGCTCAGATATCAACCTCTTGAGTAGCTAGGATTACAGGTGTGAACTACTAGAGCCCAGCTAATAATTATTGGTTTATTATTTTGTGGAAGTTCAAAAACACTCACTTGGATCTATAGACTGAAAAATGTGTCAAATAAATTAATCTGAAAAGCTTGGATCTGCAGACTGAAAAATTTGTCAAATAAATTAATCTGAAAAGCTACATACTGTATTGTAACTATACCACTTCACAAAAGACAAAACTATGGAGATAGTAAATATTGGCTGTGGTTGCCAGGGATTGTATACAGAGAATGATAAACAGGTAAAGGTCAGAAGATTTTAAGACTTTTTTTTGTGGGGGGAAGCTGCCAGTCCTGGGGCTTGAACTCAGGGCCTGGGTCTAGTTCCTGAACTTTTTTGCTCAAGGATAGTGCTCTATCATTTGAGCCACAACTCTACTTTCAGCTTTTTTTGTAATTTATTGGAAATAAGGGTCTCATAGGCTTTCCTGACCAGGCTGGCCTTGAACTGCCATCCTCAAATCTCAGCTTCCTGAGTAGTCTTACAAGCAAGAGCCACCAGTGTTTATCTAGATTTTAAGATATGAAAGTACTCTGTATTATACCATTACAATATGTCAATTTATATTTGCCTAAAACTATAGAATATGAAAAACCAAGAGTCAACCCTATTGTGAACTATTGACGTTGAGTGATGATGTTATGTCAATGTATATACACTGTGAAACAAGTAGTATAGGATTTTAATACTGGAGGAAGCTATTCCTATGTGAAATTACAGACATGCACTACTGGGCCCATCTTTTTCATTGAAATAAAGTCTCAACATTTTTTTTTAACCTGGCTGGCCTCCTACCCCAACTGTCTGGGATTATAAACATGAGCTACTAAGTCATTGAATCCTTTTTCAGATGCATAACATTGCGCTAGCTCATTGGACTACTCCAAACAGCTCTACAATATTTGTTCTGTTATCACTCCCATTCCACAAATCAAAAAAGGTGTAGGTCTATCTACATGGCCAAGCCACAAGAAAACAAGCAGATGAAGCAACAAGACAAATGAACGCTTTTGGGCTAACTCATACTGCAAATACTGAGGCTTTTAACTAGTGTGGCTGGCCATAGCCTGCAAATGTGTTGGACACTACTTTATTCACAGCCCTGACACGCTAACAGAAACTACAACCTTACTTACCCAAGAAGAAGCAGCATCACAAGAGAAATTTTTTGTTTATATTTTTACCTTTTTGTCATGGGGCCTGAACTCTGGGCCTGGACACTGTCCCTCAGCTCTTCAGCTCAAGGCGAGCACTCTACCACTTGAACAACAGCACCACTTTTGGCTTCTGCTGAGGAATCAGACTCAGAACCTTATGCATGCAAGGCAAGCACTCTACCACTGGGCCACCTTCCCAGCCCATATATTTTTACCTTTTAAATGCTTCATTTAACAATGGATATAACAGCCAGCCATTGGAGGCTCATGCCTGTAATCGAAGCTACTCAGAAAGATGAGATCTGAGGCTCTTGGCTCATGGCTCAAAGCTAACCTGGGCAGGAAAATCCATGAGGTTTTTTTTCTTTTTGCCAGACAGTGGGCTTGAGCTCAGGGACCTGAGTGCTGTCCCTGAGCTTCTTTGTGCTCAAGGCTAGCACTCTACAACTAAGCCATAGCACCACTTCCAGCTTTTTCTGAGTAGTTTATTAAAGATAAGAGTATCATAGACTTCCTTGCCCAAGCTGGTTTCCAACTGTGATTCTCAGATCTCAGCCTCCTGAATAGCTAGGACTATAGGCATGAGCCACCATCACCCAGCTTCTGTGAGACTCTTATCTCCAGGTGACTACTAAAAAGCTGGGAGTGGAGCCATGGCTCAAGATTTAGAGTGCCAGGCTTGAGGGAAAAGAAGCTCAGAGACAATGCCCATGCCCTGATTTCAAGACCTAGGAACAGTAAAAGAAAAAAATTGATATAAAAATATACAATATATAATATATATACTAATATATATGTACAATATATTATATAATATACACAATATAATATATACAATGTGATATATAAATAGACACAGAAATATACATGCCATATTTTCTTGATCCATTCATCTTTTGTAGAGTAAACTAGGTTCCTTTCATAATTTCGTCACTGTAAATTTTTAAGGAAAAAATTAATTTTCACCCTCACTCAGACACCTGTGTCCAACTATTTTCTACAATTCTTTGACTCTCCTTCCATAGCCTGCTCTTCCATATTTCTACTTCCTTCTCTTATCAAACTCAGAGACCAAGTCTTCCCAGTGTGGGGATACAGCAAGGGTCTCACAGGTACTCCTCTGATGTTTGTGAGGTGAGCTCCATCACAGGATACCACCATACCTCCTAACCCTCTTCTCACGAACCTGCAAATGGAATCATTCTCTTCCTGCCTCTAAAGGCTCATGGATGAGATATTGTGCAGTAAGCACACACAGGAAACCTACCACACAGACAGCGGTGACCCCCATTCTTAAGATAGGGTAAAAACTTCCACCTGCCAACAGAAAACCATGGCCACTGACTCAAAATTAGGAACTTGAACTTAAAAACTGTGTTTCCTAATAATTCTACATACTTCCCTTAACAGTCTGCCTAATGATCTGCCTTCTTCCACCAAATTCTGTGACATTATCTTAAGCTAAAAAGGGTGTTGAAATGGATATATAGAGAGAGAGTTTCCAGGACACACACCTCTCACAGATAGATGCTGCCCCACAGGTATTGACTGAAGACAGGTGTATACACATATGTCACACACATTCATGGTTCTCACAGACAGACAGCCGAGAGACAGAGGCTACTCACACAGACAGATGTCTACCAGGAACACGATGTATACCAGAAGCTCTCGCAGGGTGGTCTTCACATAAAGTTCCCTGTTCTCAGCTGTGTTCTCAGTCAGGGTTGTTCCCCAGAGTCCTAAGGTAATTAGACGGGGGCTCAGAGTCTCTGGCAACACATCCTGCCCAGTTATCCATTCTCACCTGCCCCTGTTTTTTGTACCGTCTTCACCCAGCCCTTCCTTTCCCATCCCTTGATCCCATGGTGGCATCTGCCTACTCTCTCCAGATCCATGCCTTCTTCCTCCCCTAAATTCCCTGAGGGGACAGGGTGAGGCACTGGGTCACAGAAAGCGAAGCCATGAAAGACAGGCACCTGTTCCAGGGGACAGTCTAGAGTCTCATCTACTTGTGCCCTCTCTCAGATTACTCCTACCCAACTTTCTGTGTCGATAACAGATGACCCTGCAATTGACCCCTCTGGCAGAGCACAAGAATGTCTTCTCTAACTCAGGCCATCTCAGAGACATCATAATTACACCTCTTCCTCAGATGAGCTTTGTCCTTCAGAGCTCTAGTGCTCCTTGCCCCTGACTCCAATATCCCAGGAAGCCCCCTCCCCAGGCTGGTACCTCTGATGCAATGACAGATGTGGAGGCAGCAGCTGGACCCAAGGGTCCTGTGTGTCTTCTCCTGGACTCCATCTTCAGGCTTCTTGGGTTGGGGCTCGTTGGAGGGGGATGCCACACTGGAGACAGTGTAGATCCTTGGTGTCCCGTGAGGTGAAGGGGAACTACTGTAGGCAGGGTTGTCCCAGGCTCCATTATCCAGCTTGTGCAGCTCCTGCCCCTCAGGACCTCCCATGGACTTCATGGGGAAGGAGGAGAGGACCTGGCACTGTAGGTGCCCACTGCCACAGGAAAATCAGAACAAAGGCCCAACTCTGCACAGCCAGCAGGGGGCAAGGATCGGAAGTCTGAAAGCAGATGCTCCAGCTGCTCTCACTGTGCCTGGGTGGGGAATCTGAAACAGACTGGGGGAGGGAACAAACTGAGGCGGAGGGGGGTGGGATGATCATCAATCCTGCCAGGGTAGATATTCTCTCTCTGTCTCTCTCTCTATCTCTGTCTCTATCTCTCACTCTTTCTCTTTAGTCTCCTCACAAATCCTTAGGGACAGAAAGAAAGGGCTGTGAGGGAGCTGGGAACCAGGGGTTTGTGGAGGGGACCGAAAGGAGGGAGATATGCAGATGGACTGAAAGACACGATGGTATTCAGATTGTACCTAGGAGAAATGTCCAGAGGTCTCAGGGAAAGGAGGAGTGGTGGAAGAAACAGGCTACAGGACTCCATCGTGGGTAACAGTGATCTCTTGGGGCTCCTTCAGCCTTTCCCCTTGAGCTGTCTCCTAGTGAGTGAGGAATGAAACTCCCCTCCCTCACCTCACTCTGATGGCTGGGAACAGAGACTGCTGGAAAAAGGACTGCAGAGACCAGGTTGTTGTGCATTTTTTTTCCTGAGGGTTTTCCCCATGGTTTACAGGCATAGTACCCATAAAAGCATGTTCCTGAAATAGGAGGCTCAGCTTAGGAAAAATGCTGTGTATGGGCTGATGTGGAAGATCAAAAGAGAACATAGGGCAACCATGCCACTTGCAACTCCTTATTGGGACTGCACATCTGGACCCAGTTGAGCTGGTCATCTTTTCCTGGGATTTTGCTTAACCCTGGGCCTAGAATTATAAGCCTGAGCACAAAATGGAAATAGGAGAGATATCAGGATTGCTCTACTTGCTTTGCTCCTAGGGTCTCTCTTAAAACCTTGTTTTCTTTGTAAATAAAAGGATGAGAAACTGTCCTAGGTTAGATCACCTGAGAAGGGAATAGAGAGCTGCAGCACTTCCCCCAAGAAAGAGCCTTTTGAATAGTTGCAACAAGACTCCTGTCTTGCAAAACAGTATCTTATAACAGGATGGGGGGTACAGGTGCATTGGGTCATACCTATAACATAGCTATCAAAAAGTAGGATTTGGGTTGTAGGCCAGCCTGGAAAAAGAAAGTCAGTGAGATTTCATCTAAACAAATATACCCAAATGGTGTGCCTATAATCTCAGCTAAGTGGGGGGACATAGATAGGAGAACTACGGTTCAAGGCCTGTCCAAGGCAGAAACATGAGAACTTATCCCCAAAATATCATAAGCAATGGTAGAGTTTTTGCCTAGCAAGTGTAAGGTCCTGAGTGAAACCTCAGTACTGCCAAAATATGTAAGTAAACTAAAAAGTAAATGAATAAAAGAGAGGATTAAGAACAGGAAACTGATGGTGTGGCCTTGAGAAACAAAAAGAGAAACTCAAGGACCTTTCTTATTTCCTTTGGATAATTTGAAATAATTATCTTCCTCCTCCTCCTCCTCCTCCTCCTCCTCCTCCTCCTCCTCCTTCTTCTAGATTAAAAGCATGAGCCATCTGCACACAACTAATCTGTATTTCTTAAGAAGTCCTTGATTGGCAAGGCTTTAGGATTTTTCATGTGACAAGTCTCCCGTTTTGAGAGCTTAAGGTCCGGCTGCAGGGCTTCATTCATGGTCCCCTGTCCAGGCCCATCCTGTCCAGTTGCTTTCCTCTGCTCTGTGCTGAGTACTCCCCTTCTGTGTAGACAGCCATCATTGGCCCAGGGGACAGCTATGAGGCACAGTTTAAGAAATCTCAAAAAATGCTCTGTATTCCTATTGTGTTTAAATTTACATAAGAAGTTGCAAAAGTAGTGATCATGTTGAATTGTCTGATGATTTTTTTTATACAGTATTGTTCCATGTCCTTAAGCTTCTGTAGGCACTGGCCTTTTCCTGCTTAAATGGACAAGTACTAATGGTGAGGGTGTGGTAAAGCACCTGCCTAAAAAGTGTAAGGGAGTTTATAAAAGCAAAGACAGTTAGGGGGACACAGGCTCAGCCTGCCTATTGACTACCTCAGCCAAATTCCAGGGCCTTGAATTTGAATTTGGATTGCAGTTCTGAGTTTAGCTTGAAGTCGCGAGGTCTGGTCTGGCTGGTGCAATCTTAGCAATGTGGTAAATGGTAGGGTATGACATCTTGTTTTCATAGTGGGAGAAGGTGAAGCCCCCACTTCCCAGGTAATGGGTGTGACTCTATCCCTGGAGGCAGGGGTGGGCACTTTGCTGATAGGTTGGTTACTAAACCAACCAGTCATCCAGTGCCTGGGACTGGGAGTTTCCTGTGACCCTGCCCCCCTGACCTAGCCCTATTTGGGCCTGGACCAGCTCAGGTGCTTTTACACCATGCCACACGTCTTCGTGTTCATGTTCTTTCTCCTGGTTCTTCTCTGGTCAACATGGCATCCCAATTCACCTCCACTGGAGTCCACCAAGCAGTAGCTAGCTTTATAATATAGACTCCAAGATTCAGTCCTTCACTGCTTTTCTCTCTGCCTCACACCATTTCCACACTGCCCATCCATCAGCTGCTATGGCACCAGCCTACCTCTTTCCCTTTCAGGAGATGTCTGGCTCTGAAGCCTTCATTTTCACATTCCTTTCTCCCTCCCTAGCTTGTCCCAAATAGAAGCTTAAATACCTTAATCAAAAACCTGTTGGTCAGGAAGCTGTACCTCACTCTAACCAGCCTGATCACCCCCACCAGACTCTTAGGGATGACATGGTCCTCTTCCTCCTCCATAGCTTTGACTCCATACAGTGCAAGTCTATCAACTACAAACTGAGGGAGATAATTCATTGTCCCAATGAGACTCCCAGTAAATTTTTGGCAGACCCCCCCCCCCCAGCCCTTCCTTTCCCATTCCTTGATCCCATGGTGGCATCTGCCCTACTCTATCCAGATCCATGCCTTCTTCCTCCCCTAAATTCCCTGAGGGGACAGGGTGAGGCACTGGGTCACAGAAAGCGAAGCCATGAAAGACAGGCACCTGTTCCAGGGGACAGTCTAGAGTCTCATCTACTTGTGCTCTCTCTCAGACTTACTCCTACCCAACTTTCTGTGTCCATAACAGATGACTGAAAGACAAAATGGTATTCAGATTATACCTAGGAGAAATGTCCAGTGGTCTCAGGGAAAAGATGATTAAAGAACAATGGAGGAGTGGTGGAAGATACAGGCTACAGGACTCCATCGTGGGTGACAGTTATCTCTTGGGGCTCCTTCAGCCTTTCCCCTTGAGCTGTCTCCTAGGGAGTGAGGAATGAAGCTCCCGTCCCTCACCTCACTCTGATGGCTGGGAACAGGCTTATCTAATGCCCATACTGGTTTATCTTTTAACCGGGTAAGAACTTATATCTATTACCTGATATTTCTATTTGTAGTGGGTCTTCCATCCATATTAGGCCTCCCACTGGGCCATTAACCATTCCAATACAGCCCCAGCTTCTGACTGGTTATTCTTAACCAGTCCACAATGCTCTCCCCTATCCAGCTAGCCGATGTTAATCAGTCAGGAGTAGTTAAGGATATAACCCACCCAATGCAGGATCTCCTGGAACACAGGAGATCCACCTAGAGTAGATGGCTGCCTTCCCTTCTGCTGGCTGTAGGTCCTCTAATAATGGTTTTTCTTTTCTTATTGTTTGGCCTCTGCCTCATAAAATTTCTTTCAGACTTCATCCAAGCATGCATATGCACGTTTATCATCAGGGAATGCTTACTAGTGCCTTCTCCTGGACCAGATGAACTTTCCACCTCTACCCCTAAAACTGATGCACACAGCCCGCAGGAAGCAGCTAGAGAATGTCTCTACCCTCTGCCTTCCACCTTTAAAAATATACAGGAAGTGGCGCTGTGGCTCAAGTGGTAGAGTGCTCGCCTTGAGCTGAAGAGCTAAGGGACAGTGCCCAGGCCCAGAGTTCAATATATATATAAATATATATATATATATATATATATATACACACACACACATAAAAAAGAAAGGAATCTAAGTTCTCAGAGTCAGCTTACTGATTAAGGCCCTGCCTCGTGTCCCTACCTGTTTACAAAAATCTGTTAAGTTTCTTTTTGCCCGATGCTGTATTGTTTTCCTGGTGTAACATATAAATTCCCACCCTAGTTGCAATAGTCTCCTTACGCTCTTTCTCACAATGTGACTCTCCCCCCCCCTCAATTCCTGTAGTTCCTGTAACAACTTCATAACATCTCTTCTCAGAACTGACTGTACCCCCAAATTCCCATAGCCTATGTAATGTGACCCAAGTGACTGCCCCCTAAAATTCTGTTTAAATTCAGCCTACACCTGTCCATGGCTGCTGCCTCCATTCCTGCTTGGAGAAGTCCGGCAGGTCTATCCCCCAATAAAGCCTTGAGCGTGTATTGTTTGCTCTCGCTTACCTCACATTTCTTACAACACATACCTGTCCTGGTAATATGAAAGAAAGGTTTAGATAATACAAAGAATACAGAAGCCTTCTAAGCTATGTTCCCTGAAGCACAGACTGAACTTAATCATCTCACAGCATCTATTCCTATGCCACTAACTTGTCCAGTTTCTGGCACGGTCGATATCTTCAGTCAAGACTGTATTGATATTGTCTCTGTCAGGCCAGCCTGGGATGACAGCCAGTAGCTAGGCAAGTTAAAGAGCACTATTTTATTTAATTCCGAGGTAGGCTTGGATTACAAAATGAAGAAACAGATGAACGAGAGAGAGAGAGAGAGAGAACTTATAGTCAAATCTAGCTTCAGAACCAGGGTTCTGATGGAAGTCTCCACTCCTTCTCTTCCTTCCACAGTCACGAAGTGGCAGCATGACCCTGGCTGCACCTCCATCCACAGGTAACCACAGCTCTTTCCTGAAGCAAAAGCCCACAAATCAGTTTGGAAAGCTGTGTACTCTCAGTCTGGTCAACAGCTCTTTTCTGTCAACTATATCCTAGAAGTACCTGAAAAGGCTCCTGTCTGGCCCTGCCACCAATCCA